AGGGGAGGGGCGATATCTCTTGGGGCGGGGCCAAGGCACTCGGTGGCCAGGCCTGGTGACAACTGCCTGAGGTCGCACCTCCGCGAGTGCCGTCTGGGCAGATTCTGCAGGCCCCAAGTTGCACAGTCCGCGAGGGTGCCCATCCCCCGGCCCGCCTCGATCCCCCACCGGCCGTGAGCCCCACGCCACCCACCCTCCCGCCACTGCAGGCTCCGGGACCCTGTTCCAGAACGCCGAGCGGATGCTGCGCGTGCGCAGCCTGGACAGCCTAGACCAGGCCCGGCTGGTGACCCTGGTCAACGCCAGCTTCGGCAAGAGGCTCCGCGACGACTACTTGGAGTCGCTGCGCCGGCGGCTGCACTCGGTCTACGTCTCGGAGGGGTGAGGGGCGGGGCCGGGACGTGGGGTGGGCAGGGGCGGGGCCAGGCGGCCGCAGCCTGACAGGCCCCGCCCTGTGTGCCCAGGTACAACACCGCCGCCATCCTGACGGTGGAGCCGGTGCTGGGCGGCACGCCCTACCTGGACAAGTTCGTGGTGAGCGCCAGCCGCCAGGGCCAGGGCTCCGGCGAGATGCTGTGGGAGTGCCTGCGGCGGGACCTGCAGACGCTGTTCTGGCGCTCGCGGGTCACCAACCCCATCAACCCCTGGTAGGCCGGAGGCGGGCTTCCTCTTGGTCACTGGTGTGCCTCGGGGTCCTCCCGTGGTCAGTGGCAGCCAGTGTGGCACCCCCCAGCCCCGGGATCCAGAGAAACCCTAACTCTCTGGCTCCTTTATGATATTTTAATATTTTTTGGTTTTTTGAGACAGGGTCTCCCTACATAGCCCAGGTTGGTCTCTAACTCATGGCCATCCTCCTGCCTCAGCCTCCCGAGTGCTGGGATGCCAGGTGTGGACCACTGTGCCTGGTTCTCTCTGGCTCTTTTCAGCCTCAGGTGCCAAGCTCCTGCCCCCAGGCCTACCGCACCTCCCTTTGAACACCTTTGGACCCTTTCTTTCGGGAACTAAATCCTCACCACTGCCCTGCGGATTCTAGGAAATTACCAGGAAGCCAGGCACAGTGGCCTATATCCGTAATCCCAGCTGCTCTGGGAGGCTGAGGCAGGTTTCCAAGTTCAAGCCCAGCCTGAGCAATTAAGTGACTTGAGGAGACCCTTTTTAAAAATTAAAAAAAAAAAATTTAAAAGGGCTCAGGCCAGACATGGTGGTGCACACCTCTAATCCCAGCACTCAGCAGGCTGAGGCAAGATCACCCCAAGTTTGAGGCCAGGCTGAACTGCAAAGCAAGACCCTGTCTCAAAACACAAAAGCAAAAGAGGGCTGAGGATGCAGCTTGTTGCAAAAGCCCAGGGTTCAAAACAAAACAAAACAAGGGCTGGGGATTTAGCTCAGTGGTTCCAGCGCCTCCCTCGAAACCATAAGGTCCCGAGTTTGATTCCTGGTACCAAAAAAATAAAACCCCAGAACAAGCCTAGTACCCTCCTGCCCCCCGGGCCCTGCGATGAGGGTGCAACAGCAGGGAGGGCGGGCCTCTCTGGTGCCTGGCTCACGGGCCCTGCTCTAAGCCAGCCCCTCCCCCAGGTACTTCAAGCACAGCGACGGCAGCTTCTCCAACAAGCAATGGATTTTCTTCTGGTTCGGCCTGGCCGACATCCGGGAGTCCTACGAACTGGTCAACCACGCCAAGGGGCTGCCGGACTCCTTCTGCAAGCCAGCCTCGGACCCGGGCAGCTGACCTCGCCGGCCCATGGGCCTCTGACCGAGGCCAGGCTGGACCAGAAACCACAGTGCCCTGTGGAGCTTGCTGGCTGAGCCCCACCAAGAGAGCCGGAAGTGGGACAAGCCCAGGAGTGCCCGACCAAGGCCCGGCCTGCACCCCGGCCTGGCCAGCATCAGAGGCCTGAGCTGGACGTGGCCAGTTTGCCCAGAGCACCTCCTCCCTGCTGCCCACCCCCCACTTTCAATCCCGGGGTCTTGCAGTCTCACAGGACGCTTTGATTAAAGCACAATCCCTGCCTGACAGCGCCTGTGTGAGGGGAGGTCACAGCAGCCCTCTGGGACCTAGAGGGCATGGAGGGCTGAAGAGATGGAAGGGATAGCCCAGGGATGGTGGCCACCTCCTCCCGGGGTGTCCTCCTGCCTTGTACATCCCAGCCCCTCCTCCAGGTAGGCTCAGAGCCAGGCCCTGACACCACGGGCTCCTCTTTTACCTGCAGGAGCCCAGCAAAGCCAGGAATAGGTAGTTTTGGCTTAAACCCCAGCATGGATGTTGTCCCCAGCCAGCTGGAGCCTGTGTTCCGTGCAAGACTAGTGCTCAGTGGGCAGGAGGCCAGAGTTTCCAGTTAACTCTGTGGGGACATGGTACTGGGAACTGAACCCAGGAAACGCCAAGTTACACTCGACTTTTTTTTTGGTACCGGGGATCGAACTCAGGACCTTGCACTTGCAAGGCAGGCAGCAGAACCACTGAGCTAAATTCCTGGGCCCCCAGGCTTTTTATTTTGAGATACGGTCTCATTAAGCTGCTCTGGCTGGTCTTGAATTTGCCATCCTCCTGCCTCAGCCTCCCAAGTAGCTTGTGTTACAGGCGTGCACCAGCATGCCTGGGTCATTTGACATCTCTCAGCCCTCATGGCGGGCAAGGTGCTGTGCTGTTCACCAGGACAAGCAGGGACGCGGGCAGCTAAGGGGCCACTGTGGCACAGTAGGGGCAATGAAGGGGCCAAGGCTGAGAGCAGTCTGTTCTCCCTCTGGCCTGGGGACGCCAAGGCCCAGCACAGCCTTCTGGAGCCTTGCTTCCTCTAATGTGAAACCCTGGTTCCAGCACACCTCTGTCCTCTCACTAGATGCCTTCTAAGAGCTGTGCTGGGAGGGCAAGGACTGAGGGAGAACCACAAAGACCACCATGAGGACTCGGAGGCTTGGGCTGGGCTTTGCAGCCCAAGCTGAGGATCAAACTCTGCGCCTCTGCACTCCCGGGTCAGGACTGCCCTGCAGCAGCATCCAGCCCAGGCCTGGAGATTCTTTGAAAGAGCCAGAGGGCTGTGGGGACTCAGAGAGGTAAACAATCACGGTGGCCCGAGGTGGGGGCTTCCAGGAAACCCAACATGAAGCTGGGTGTGACAGCTCATGCCTGTCATCCTAGCACCTGGAGGCTGAGGCAGGAGAATCGCTGGTACTTGAAGTCAGCCTGGAATACATGGTGAGACCTAGTCACAAAACCAAAACAAAACTCCCAACGTCAACTCAACAAATGTCTCTGGTGTTTATTTCAGAGGAGTGTGTAGTCTGGTGTGCAGGAGTCCCTGCAGGTGGCAGCGGAAGGGACGCCAGCCACCCGAGCCCAGGCCGGCTTGTACAGTGCTGAGTGCGGGCTATGCCTGCCACTCGTGCCTAGGGGCCTGATTCACATGTTGACACGCACAGCAAGGAGGCTGAGGCAGGAGGATCACAAGTCTAAGCACAACTTAGACAGCTCAGCAAGACCCTGTCTCAAAATAAAAAGCAGAAAGGGCTGGAGATGCAGCTCAGTGCTGAAGCACCCATATTCAATACCACATTCAAACAAAAAAACTGGTGCAAATAGGACTTTTTCACATTTACTCACTTCGGGGTCTGTCTTAGTCACTCTCTCCTTGCTGGGACAAAATACCCACACTTGCAACTTAAAGGGTTTGTCTTGGTCACATTTCAGTCCATGGTCAGCCAGCTGCAAGGCAGGACGGCTTGGCACAGAGGCCTGGCAGAGGAGCTGGGAAGGGGAGGCAGATGAAGCCTTCCAGGTCACATCCCAGTGACCACCTCTTCTGACCAGACCTCTCCTCCTCATAGCAAGTCAGCTGTCAGGAGCCCCTGTATTCCAATCGCCTTTCAACCCACATGCATGGGGAGACATCCAGATATAAGACATGGACATTCAGCCCCCACCTCCCAGGACTCATGTGCATCTCATTATGCAAAATGCACTCAGTCTGTCTAAGAGTTGCCAAAGTCCCAGCAGTTCCAGCATTGCTGAAAAGTCTGAGTTCAAAGTCTCCTATAAGACTTAAGGCAAACTCTTAGCTGTGAACCCCTAGAAAATGCAAAGCAAATTCAACACTGCCCACATACAAACGCACCAGGTAAACATTCCCACTCCAAAAGGGACCAAAGCAAGACTGAAACCCAGCAGGGCAAACATTAAATCCCATAGCTCAGTGCCCTGCACCAGAGGCACGTTGTGGCAAGATGTGGACTCCAGGGGGCTTGGGCAGCCCCACCTGTAGGGCACTGCTGGTGACAGGCTGTAACCCTCCCGGGCCAAGTGTTTACTCTTGCAGCTTCCCTCAGGTAATCCAGGTTCCTGGCTTTTCCACTGCACTTTTGGCTTTACACTTACATCCCAAGCTGCTCTCTCAGGGACACATGGCCTGGCCTCCCAGGCCTCCTGAATTCTGGGTGGAAGCCTTCCTGACCCTACAACTTTTGCATTCTGCAAAACCAACATGTAGATAGTGCCAGGGCCTGCTTCCTGCTTGAGCAGTAGCCAGGCCCTCCTGAATGGCAGCTGCAGAGGCCTGAGTACCTGGATGGCTGAGCAAGGTGAGCTGAATCCCCAGGAACCAACTCCCTAGGCAGGTCCTCTGAGCATGGTGCTGTGGGATGCTCTTCTGAGTCTTACAGCCTTGCATCCCCGAGCCTGCGGGAGTGGGGGGAGGGTCTTGCTGATTCCTGATGTGCCCTCAAGCCATTTTCCCCATTGTTCTGATCCAAAATACTTGGCTTCTTTTGAATGCTTATCTTTTCAGCAACCAGTCTCTCCTCTGCTCCAACTTTACAGGAAGTGCTTTTCTGGTGAAAATCAAAACCTTTAAAATCACTCAGTTGTGCCATTTTCTCTTGGTTCTTCATACAGATCTGGCTGAAAGGCACCAACAGTACCGAATGCCGCTGAAATGCTGGGTTGCCTTGAGATTTTCCTCTGCCAGATTAGTCTGCCGTGCTTAGTCTTCTGGTCTCAGAACCGGAGTATAATGTACACAAAGCTTTCTGCCAGAGAAATGAACATGGCCTGGAGTCCATGCCAGTGACTCCATGTCCAACTGAACAGGCCCTAATTGAGTTTGGTCTTTATGGTCTGCCTTTTTATCAACATTCTGATAAAATGCTTGTTTGGGTTTTGTTTGTTTGAGACAAGGGCTCACTCTGTAGTTCAGGCTGGCCTTGAATGAACGGGCAATGATACTCCTGCCTCAGCCTCCCAAGTGCTGGGATTACAGGTGTGCTCTACCATGCCTGACTAGCATTCTGTTTTCTGAGCTCCAACCAGAGCCTCCCATCAAGCTCAGCTCACAGGATTCTAGGGCTGCTTCTCCAGCCAGCATCTCTAAACCTTTCCAGACTTCTCCAGTGAACCAGCTCCAAAGGCTTCTGAACCACGTGGTCAGCTAGCATCAAAGCTAGGACCCCATTCCTGGTACCAAAACCTGTCTTACTTTCCTTGTTGCTGGGACCAAATACCAGATACCCACAACTTAAGTGAGGTTTATTTTGACTCCATTTCAGCCCACAGTCAGCTGGCTCCAAAGCAGGATGGCTTGGCAGAGGGGCCTGGCAGAGGAAAAGCTGCTCACCTCACAACAACCAAGAAGAGAGAGATGAACCCCCCGGGCCTTACCCCAAGTGACCACCTCCTCTCCCCACCTGACCCCACCTCCAACAGCAAGTCGGCTGTAAGCCCCATAACCCGTCTCCTTCCAAACACACAAGGCTTTGGGGGCTGCTGCAGATCTACACCACAACTGGATCTGTCTCCCTTCCCCTGTCCCCATCCAGGACCTGCACCCCCAGGCCTCAGTTTTCACAAACAGGAACAAGCCCGTGAGGCATCAGTGTCAGGGCTCCCAGCCCACAAGGGCCAACCCATGAATTTGGGGCCGAGATCTGCCTCATACTATGAAAGGAAAAAAACAAAATTAAAAAAAAAAACCCACAAAGACCCAACAGAAAGAAGTAAAATCAACAGCAGTGGAGCGGCGAGGTGGAAGGCAGGGCGCCCCACACTACAGGACTCAGCCATCAGTGGCCAGGATGATGGCGGCCCCAAAGATGCCCATGTTCTCCCCAAGGAGCTTCATCTGGTTCCAGAACTCCACCCGCACTGTGTGGTGCCAGTAGGTGACGTTGCCATCGATGAGCAGCATGACTGGGGGCAGCAGCACAGCCAGGATCTGGGCAGCCAGGGCCACGTAGTAGCCAGACAGGAAGGCCAGAGCCAGGACACCATAGAGCAGGAAGAACAGCTGGACCATGAGCTCGCCTCCAGGAAGACAGTTCAGATATGCCAGCCGGTCCTCCTCACTGTGCTGCAGCGAGTATGCCTGGGGACACACCATCATGACACTCAACTCCAAAGCCCTCCTCAGAAGGGGGCTCCCTGAAAGCTGGGACCCCACACTCCAGGGCCCAGGTGGTGCGGCTCTCTACCTCCCCTCCTCTCCACAGGGCTTCTCAAGGAAAGAAGTGTGTCTCACAGACCTCGGGGCCTTGCACGCTGAGCTAGAGCTCTGTCAGTGCCTGGGAACGGAGCCGAGGCCAAGTGCTGGGGCCTGCCCGTCCTCAACCTCCTGACTGCCCAGCGTCAGAGACCCCAGTAGCTCTAGGTAGCAGGCCCAGCTGGGGCCTATACCCCACTACCCCTCCCTTCTGCCCCCTCTCCCAGTCCTCAGGAGGCTGGACTCCACGAGAACCACCCACCTCGCTCTCCTGGCCTTCCGGATTGGAACCACTTCTCTACCTGGTGACAAGAATGTGGGCAGAAGGGACTGTCTGGCCCCTGGAGGGCCCTGAGGCCCAGGGCAGCCCTTGGGAGTCAGGTCGCCCGTAACTGGGTACAAGGCCTTGTGCTGCCTGCCTTCCTGTGTTCTGTGTTCACCGCCCGGCAGCCACCCCCAGCCAGCAGAACCCCAACCTACCACACAGATGAGGTAGATGCCCAGGAAGACTTGGCCGGTGGACTGCAGAGAACGGCTGCGGGGTTTGCGGCGGTACAGCTCCCCCGCACCGCTGGCCAGCACCAGGAAGCCACCAATGATAGCTAGAGTTCGAGAGTACATGCGGACCTAGGGCCAGGGCAAGGGACCCAGTCAGGAGCCACAGCCACACTTCTCCTGGGTCTCTGCATCCCGCATCATGAACCTTCTTACCATTTCCAAATGTGAGGGCAGGTACAGCTGAGACACATAATTCTTTTTTACAGAAGTGGAAACTGAGGCCCAGAGGGGTTAGAAAATTGTCCGTGGTCCTACAGAAAGTAAGTGACACCACACAGTGCCGCCTTCCCCACTACAGGCCTGGAGGCTGAGCCCTGTGTTCTCTGTTCCATTTGAGCAACAGCCTCCGAACTCCCTGTGCTGTCCCTGCCGCACACGCACACTGAGGTCCCCTAAGGGACTCCGGTCCTGCCCCTGCGGGGAGTGGCTTTGCCCCACAGACCCTCGACCCTGGACCCTGGACCCTGGGCCTGGCAGACTCCAGCCGTTGCAGGCCTAAGCTACACTCAGGTTCCTTACACTTTACACAGTCAGGTGGGTGGACCAGGTCCAACCCAGGGTCCCACTGTGTGGGGCCGGGATTGCTCACGGCTAAGGGGTCCTGGACCCAGGTGGCTTACGTTCTGTCCCCCACACTCCTGCGCGTGACCTGGGGCGGTCTGTTCCCACTTCCGGGCCTCAGGCTGCACACGCGGGGGAGCCTGGCGCGGCCCGCTTGCACGGGGGTCCGCCGGCTGGGCGACCTGCTCACCTTCAGCCAGTGCCCGTAGTGGACGTGGCCGCCCACACAGGCGGCGTAGGTGCTCACGCCCAGCTGCAGCGCGGCACCCAGCGCGAACCAGCGCCGCTTGACGCCGAAGGACATGAAGCTGGCGCACAGCACGGCGGCGCCCATGTCGAAGTACAGGTAGGGCACGGGGATGTCGGGCTTCCTGCGGGTAAGAGCGCGCCTGAGCCGGAGCCCGAGGAACAGAGGCGCGCCACCCCGGTTCCCGCCACGTCCCACCCCGGGACCGAGACCCGCGGCCTGCGCTGTCGGCCTCGGAACCAGCGCCCGCAGCACCGGGCCGGCGGCCCGCCCCCCGCCGGACAGCGGCTGCGCAGGCGCTCACCGGCGCGCCTCGGCCCTCTCGGCATACAGCATGAGCTGACTGAAGCAGCCCCAGAACGGGCAGCGTGTGAGCAGCACCGAGCCTAGCTGCATAAGCAGCTGCAGCAGCCAGCGTCTGGAACCGATCTTCGACGCCATCTTGGGAAAGGGCAGTCCGCTACGGCCTCACTCCGGACTGCCAGACCGCCGCAGGGATGCGACGCGAAACTTCCGGCCCCCTGTGGGGTGTTCCCCGCCCCACGTCCGTCCGGAAGCACACCTCTAGTTCTTTCGTTCCGGTACAGAAGCCTTCCCCTCTGTCAGTGTAGATTCCCGCCCGTTTTGTACCTGCAGAACTGAAAAGTGCCCTGGAGGAGGGAGCGGTGAGGTCAGAGCGCCATGTCCTGGGTCGCACTCTGACGGACGAAGGCTGGCTCCAACCCACGCTCCAAGCCTGTGACAGGCACCGCGCCCAGACTGACTCACCTGTGGAGGGGTGACAGCTCCTCAGGGACCTGCTGGGAAGGGTGGCCATGGCAGCACTGGCTATGGCACGCAGCCCCAGACAGGCCTTTCATTTCGTTCCTCCCTCCCCCCCCCATCCGGGTACTACAGCTCGAACCCAGGGCCTTCCCACTTAGCTGCGTCCCCAGCCCTATTCTATTTTTTATTCTGAGATGGTCTCCCTAAGTCACTAAATGTGCCCAAACTGGACTGGAATTTCCAGTCCTCCTGCCTCAGCCTCCCAAGTCCTGGGATGACAGGCCTGTGCCACTGCGCCCCGCTTCTATTTGTGGCTCTTACTAATGGCTGTCTTCTGCCACTAGTCTGCGAGCTCCCTGAGGACAAATACATTGGCGACTGTTTTAGCCGTGGGGCAGCATGCAGGGTGCCCAGGACACGCGTGCTCCACAGACAGACAGGTGGATGAAAGGCCGTGTTGCTGTCCAGTCTGTGGTTGGTGCTTGGTAAATATCTGTTAATAAAGGGGCAAAAGTGTGGGGCTCCCTGGGTCCTCAGGAAGGGGCATCCACCTTGGAAACTGAAACTAAGTCTGCCGGGGCCGTGCAGTTCAGTTCCCATCCCTAGTAGGGGCCATGAGAATGAGGCCCCTCGAGCCAGCCAGAGGCAGACAGTTAGACTCAGGATGAAGTTGGTGACTCAGGAGGAAGTGATACAGGGCCAAGTACACGCAAAGAACAAGGGGGCTGTGTAGGGCCTGGGGTCTCTAGCAAGCAGAGAGAGGCTAGGTTGAAGGTTACCTTGCCTGCTCTGCCACAGACAGCAGGAGACTTCTCACGGTGACAGGTGTGGTGCACTTTCCGGCCAGGGTTACTCTTCCGGTCTCCTCCCTCAGCCCTGATCAGATGGAACAGAGGCACAGCCCTCAGGTGCTGAGGAGCAGGACCGGCCTAGGCTCCCTCCTGGTCTGACCCCAAGGCGGGTGGCCACCCTATCACCATGTCTTTCAGCTCATCTCCACAGCAGAGGCCCATCAGGGAGGGAAGGCATCCTGGGACCCACCCACCTGCCCACTGCTCCGGATGGGTCCTTCTCAGCCTCCTGTTCCCTCTGCCCCAGGCCAGGCCAAATCCTGGCTTTCTGGTTGAACAGATGAGGCACAGGGCAGGGCCAGAACGAGCTTCCCTCCTCCTGTCCTCCAGCCCCCTGACTCCCTGGAGGGCTCCCGGTTCCGCTCCACCCCAGCCCGCCGGCTCAGCTGCAGCCTGGAAGACCCACTGCCCTTCACAGCCTGCGCAGTTGTTGGCCTGGGCCAGGGGAGCTGGGCCTCCAGATCTCACAGCCCTGGGGAGCCTCGGGGCTGGCGGCTGCTGGCACCGTGTGCCCACGCGAGGGTGCCCAGTGTCTGCAAGACCTGCTGGCCGAGGCTGTTTCCAGCCGGAAAGAGAATTCCCAGGCCACTGCAACACCCATGGTGACACGGGGCTCCAGCCTCCCTGTCCACAGGCTTTGGGTGCAGGGATGGGGAACAGTGGGGTCCAGGCACGGGCAAAAGCCAGCTGTCACAGAGCCCCACAGCTCCAGGGGTTACAGGCCGTCTCCAGGGGCCTGATGGAGCCAGGCAGCAGTGGCCGCGATGACCATGCCCAGCTCCAGGGCCAGACTGAGCCTGAGGGGCCCCATAGCCTCCCTGGGCACAGCTGGGCAGGGCACGGCACTGGGCCTGCTGTGCAGATGCCAGGGAGATGGATGCTGCCAGCACAAGGGGAAGGGGGCCGGCCGGTGGGGTGGAGCAGGGCAGCACCAGGGACCCGAGGACGTGGGCGCCTGCCTGGGCTCCTGGCCTGGGACCTGCACATACGCGGAAGCCGGTGCCATTCAGGGGCCTCAGTGAGCACCTGGTCCCAACATGGCCTCGGCCTGTCCTCATCCCCCACGGAAACTCTACCTTCTCCTGCCCTGGGGGGACAGGACCCAGCCCTCAGGGCGGCAGAGGGATGGCTCCAGGGCCACCCAGTGCTGAACTGGGGACGCAGACGACTGCGAAGTCCTTGCAGCCCAGAGGCCCTCCCTGGCCCTTCAGGCCCTGCCGTGTCCTGCGACAGGCTGGGGCCCAGGTGGGTAGACGCCGCCGCCTGTGACCGAGTCTCAGCATGCGTGAAGAGGCTCTGCTGTCCTTCCTGGCCTCCGCTGACCAGGGGCCAAGTCACCCCTTCAAGGAGTGCCCACTTTGGGAGCCCGATGTGGCGCTCCCGGACAGGCCGAAGCTGGCACTTCCAGCCTCTGCTTAGAGATGGGGCTGGCGTTACAGGTGAGGCGCCCGGAAAGACAGGCGGCTTGGTGGGGCAAAGGTGCAGCTCGGGTGTGGCCTGTGTGGTGGGCGGAGCCCCTGGCCCACCTCCGGCTTGTGGCCTTGGGACATGCCCGGCAGAGCCCACCTGGGCCGCTCGGCAGGACCCTGTCTGGGAGCACCTGTGGCAGGGATGGCTTTTCGGCCGCCCTGGGGGCCACACACCGCAGACTGTCCGGAGGCCTCGGCCACTTGGGCTCGAGCATCCTCCAGAGCAGCAGGCAGGAGCATCTCCCAGCGGGGCCGGGGTCCCCTAGCAGCAGCTGCAGGTATGAGAGCCGGGAAACCAGTGCCTGTTGCTTGTTTCTGCGTCACCACATGCAGGGCCCGTCTGTCGGGAGACTGGCACCCCGGCACCACGGACCTCGAGCCGGCCAGCTTTTTGGCTGCTGTCCTGGTTGTCCCAGCTGTCTTGTGGCAGCGGCCAGGCCGGAACCCAGGCCGGGTCACCCGCCGTCACCCTGCATCCTGTTGTGTTGTGTGCTGCCACCAGGCTTGCCTGGGGCCTCGCGCCTGCACCAGTGCAGCCAGCACAGGGAAGCACAGGCCCGGCTACCACCCTGCTTTCCAGAAGGGGCCCTGAACTAATGGGGTGACCACCACCCGGGCACCACTGCTGTCCGGCCCCGCCCAGCCCTGGGCGCCTGAGCACAGGGCGCATGCAAGCTCTGCACTCAGTTCCTCATCCTCTCCACCCCGCTCTGCATGGGCACACCTGTTCTCCCAGCCCTTGGAGGCTGAGGCAGGAGGATCTCTGCAAGTCTGAGACCAGCCTGGGCTACAGAGTGCGTTCAAGGCCAGCCTGGACTGCCTAGCCAGACCTGGCTCAACAAACCACCAGGACGGCCAGGCTCCTGTGCTGCACCCCAGCCCTGGCAGCAAGTGAACAGAGTGGGAAGGTGGCGTCAGGAGCCCATGCGGGGAGCCCAGGTGCAGCCTCTGCCAGAGCAGGCGCCCTGCACTGTGAACCGCCACTCGGCCTCGACCGCTCCCCTCCTGGACAACAGGGGCTGACGGGTGGTTGGCTCAGGGACAAGGGTGGGGACGCTCAAGGCCTGGTCACCAGGGTGACAGAAGCTGCGGCTGGAGCCCAGCTGTGTCCTCAGAGCCCAGCTGCCCCGCACTGGGTGTGAGCAGCAAAGCACTGAGCACTGCTGCCCGGCACTGAAGCCTCAGCCCTTTTTGCTGTTTGAGACAGGGTCTCACCAAGTCACTGAGTTCCTGGCCGCCTCAGCCTCCCGAGGGCTGGCATGCACCCCACTGCCCAGCCCTCTCTGGGCCTCAGCCCACTCCTGCCTGCCTCTCCAGACGTGCACTCTCTTCTGAATGGCTTCGTAAGGTTTCCCACTTTTCCTTGGCAACGGAAACTGCAGTCCAGCGAGCCTCCCACCTCTCCCAGGGCTCACCCAAGCCTGCAGGAGGGAAGGGGGCGTGGGCTGTGGCTACCCCAAGCCGCACTGAGGGGGCCCGCTGCAGTGGCCACGCCGGGGCTCAGCGCTGACCCTCAGCCTGCCTGAAGCCACACAGTGCGGCGCCATGTTTCTGGACAGTTCCAGGGGGCAGAGTTGGGTGGGGTAGGAAACAGGCAATGGAGACCGGTGGCACCAGATACACCCTCTCGGCCCCTCTGGGACGAACAAATCCAAGACATGAGTGATGGTTAAAAAAACTGGGGTTTTATTGTTTTGCTAAACAATACTAAAAAAAATTTTTTTTCATTTTGAAGGCAGGGCTTGAATTATTTAATTTTGATCCATTTAATTAAAAAAAAAAAAAGGAAGGGGAAGGAGATCATGGCCAAAAAAAACATAGTTCACCCCCCCCACAAGGCGCTAGCCAGCGGCCAACCCTGCTCCCGAGGCCTGGACCGAGCGTGTGCCAGGCGGCTCTGAGCAGGACGGTCACACCAGGCAGGCGCTCGAGTCCAGACGCCTCCAGCCGCCCGGTGAGCACGCACAAACTGTCTCAGCTCGGAAGCTTTCGCTTGGGGCTGGGCGGGCGTTTGAGCGGGAGGACGGGCAGAGGGCTCGCTGGAGCCGGCCAGGGTGGCCCAGAGAGGGAGGACAGCCATGCAAGCGGCCCCACGCAGGTGCAGAGCAGCTCTTCCGGGACCCCAGGCGCCGGCCGGGCCCACGGCGGCCCTGGCTGGGCGGCAGAGAGGAGGTGGGGCAGTGGCCATGATCTAGGAAAGAGACCTGCAAGAAGCAGAAAATATTTAGAGAACATTTTAATATATATTTTCATATATATATTTAAAGTTAAGAAAAATAAAACTAATTCAAGCCATGCCCTGTGCAAAAAAAAAAACAAAGTTAAGAAAAAGAATTTAAACGAGACCTCTGTTGGCTGCTCTGGTCTCAACTCAAGAATCACAGTCAGCTTGTTACTTTTATTTTGGAAGAGAAGATGTAAAAGTTTCTTTCAATTACTCGGAAGGCGACTGGCGCCACTTATAAAAACAGAACGGCAGGAAGAGAGTTGGGCAGGAGAGAAGGAAGTGAGCGGCCAGAGCGGGCAAGGGGCCTTCGAAAATAAAACTAACAAGGTGACTGTCGGAGAGGGGCTGTGACAGGGCATGGCGGGCGGAGTCTGTTAGCCAGGTACTGGTTCGACGGTAAATGACCTCCGTGCGCTTTTGTTGGGCGTTTGTCTGTTCAAGTCTAAGACTGGACGCGCTGGCCCCTGGGGGGCGGGAGCCAGCAGGAAACTTGGGGTCCCTCCCCTCCCCGCCTTCCTCCGTGAGCCGCCGCCACACTGGGTGCTGAGGTCCCCGACGCGTGGCCTCAGGACGACAGGGCCGCCTCCTTCTGTGGCTGCTGGGCTTGTGAGCGCTGCAGGATCTTTTGGCTTTCCACGTCTCTAAAATGTTTTTCCACCTGCAAGAGTCCAGCCAGGCTCAGCATGCGGCAGACAGGTGCGGTCCCCCTCGGCCCACTGCCTGGTGCCCGAGGCCTGCGCCAGGAGTTGGGGCCCACACGAAGCGGGGCAAGAGCCCTGAGCAGCGGCGCCCCGGCCCGCCCAGGTGCAGAGCTCCGACCACTCCACACCAGGGCACGGGCTCGGCAGCACCACCCACTGTCCCGAGCCCAGGCTTCCCCTCCCGACCCATCACTTACTATTTTGCGTACATGGCTCAGTGCGCTCCCCTCTTTGCCTTTACAGTTTTCCACCTGATAGGGGGGCGTAATAACAACTTCTTCCATGACTACGATGTTTTTTTCTTGCCATTTACAGTCTTTAATGCTGGAAGGAGAAGAGTGGAGAGACATTACCGGTGGGCAATGCAGTCCAGGAGGCCAAGGCCGACCTCCCAGACGCCCGGCTCAGCAGCAGCTGGCCGGCAGCTGCCGGGGCGCAGAGCAAGAAACCAAGGGGCACTGAGCCCATGCAGAGCCCAGTTGCACTGTGAAGCATCAGAGCTGGGAGACACTGGGGGCAGCCAGGAGCGATGGTGCTCATGCCCTCCATCCCAGTATTCTGGAGGCTGAAGCAGGAGGATCCTGGATGGCATGGTGGGGGCAGGCGGCGCAGGGAGGGCAGCCAGATGACTTCTGTGGGGGCTTTTAGGGTGGGGTGAGGCGGTGGCCTCTGCTCTCCCCCTGCCCATGTTCATCCCAACATGCAGCAGGGGAATTGTACGCACAGCATTTCTCTACTAACACTGCACCAGCTTTCAGAGAAAGATGTAGCAGCAGCGACAGAAAGGAGCAGGAAGAGGAAAAAGGAGGGGAGGGAGGAAGGAGATCACAAGTCCTAAATTGTGCGCTACTAGCTGGGCATTGGCTATACCGTGAGTTCAAGGCCAGCCTGAACCACAAAGCGAGACCCTATCTCAAAGAACCAAAAATCAAAATCAGACTAAATTACGCACCACTATGTCTGGAAGGAAACATATGCAAAGTCCAATCCAGAGCAAGGTTTCCTGAGGTGCTGAGCTTGCACCGGGGCTCAGCACACGCAAGTGCTCCACCTGAGCGACACCCACAGCGCTCCCCCCTTTCTGTGGGGACAGGGCCTCCGCCAAGTCCCACAGGCAGGCCTCAAACTTGTACATCTCCTGCCTCGGCCTCCAGTAGCTGGGATGATGGGCGTGCACTATGCCCGGCCAAAGCAGAGTTATACAGACAAGAAGCTGAGGGCTGGAGGTGAGCGCTTGTGGCCATGCCACGCTGTGCGCAGCTCTCACGAACGCCCAACTCACGTCTTGTGGATGGTCTGGAAGAGCTGCTGGCCCTCAAGGGAGACGCCAGCACTGATTGCATAGGCCTGGCTCAGCTTCTCCTCCTTCTCCGTCCGCGCTTTGCTGGCGAGCTGGGTGGGAGAGAAAAGAGACTCAGAAAAGCACCACTCGGCCCCCAACACCAGGCCCAGGCTGGGAGAAGCCAGAGACCACTCCAAGACTCAGTGCACTGCACCCGAAGTGAAGTGGCCACCCCACGACCTACTGGGACAGCCGCAGCTTCCTGCACAAAGCCCTGTCTCCGCCTCGCCCCCTCAGTGCCTCTCATGCGCCAGCTATGTGCAGGCTTGGGGGACAGACTGTGTACAAGTGCAAACGCCTCAGACTACTTCAGACGGTGACGGCCAGAGCAGAGGGCACAGCCCTGAGGCTAAGGGAGCGGCGCTCGGGCCTGTCCATGTGAAGGAGGAACCTCAGGCCCCACTCAGGTGCAGCAGGCCTGTCCAGCAGCAGCAGCATGGGAAGCAGGCCTGGAGTTGCAGGCCTGCCCGCCTTCCGAGCCCCTCGGGCCGCGCCTGCACTGCCCTCTGGTGGAGCCATGGAAAGTTGCCCAAGAAGCTCCGGGAACATCCAGTGTCCCTCCATCCTTCCTAGGCCCCAGCCTTGGGGTGCAGCTCTGGGGAGCTGGGACGGGACACATGCACAACAGGCGACTACAGCAAATGGCAAGGCAAACACACGTGTGCCAGGCAAACGGAGGACGGAGCTCAGACCCGGAAGGCGAGCAGCCCCACCACAGCTCCCTGAGGACAAGGACCTGGCGTCTTCGGGTCCTCAAATCCTCGGCCCATCCCGGCCAGTATCAGGGCCCTCACACAGCACCACCTCAGCCTCCCGAGGCTGCAGCCCCAGCCAGGACCAGTGGGGCTGTGATTTCAGACTTCACGGGAGAGACACGGGGCAGGTGGGCAGGTGAGCACCCACTCTGAGGGGTGCAGGTGAGCCTCGTGGCCAAAAGCAACCCTGGGGCTCACTTCTCAGCAAGGCCTCTGGGTGTCTCGGTGCTCCCAGGCCAGGAGGGAAAGCGGGGTCAACAGGGCCTGGGAGGAGGGAGGGGTCAAGCAGTGTGCGCCCCACAAGCCACAGGGCGGTCCCCTTGAGAGTCTCAGCCCCCCACAAATGCCTGTCCTTGACAGGAAACCTCTACCCCCGCCAGGCCAGGCAGAGCCGCTACTACAGAGTGGGGACAGGCAGGGACAGGCGCCCCGTGCTCAGGTCAAAACCTCCACTCACTCCCCACAGGAGCCGCAGGCCAGAGGTGACCTGGCTGAGACAGCGACAGTGACACTGGTGACAGGACAGCGTTTCCAAACACCCCTGCCCAAGTCTAAAGGCAGAGGCACGGCCAGGTGGGCTGCATCCACTTCAGCTCCAGGGAGGAGAAATCCTAGGGCTCTATGCGCAGCAGAAGGGGCTGCAGGCCTCACTGCTTCCTCTCGGCCCCCACATTCTGCACTCCCCACCTGTACTGCAGTAGAGCTGGGGAGCTCCAGATGCCACACCCAGAGCCCCTGGCAGGCTGCGTCTCCATGGCAATCCGGAAACACTCCCACTGGACACCAGCACATCCATCTAGGGCCGGTCTCACCAGCGAGCTCACAAACGGGGCAACTCCTGCCACAGCGGACCCCACCAGTGAGGTGCAGGAGTGCGTGGTGTTCCCACAAAGAGAAGCCACAAGGGCTTCCTCTCCTCAAAAGTGGGAGTCAGAGGGGAAATAACTGGGTGTGGTGGTGCACACCTATAATCCCTGCAGTCAGGAGGCTGAGGGAGGAGGATCGCCACAAGTTTGAGGCCAGCCTGGGGTACATGGAGAGTTCAAGACCAGCCTGAACTACACAGCAAGACTGTCTCAAAAAAACAAAAAAATGGGAGGGGGCCCCCTGGACAGAACTTGGATAAGCCTTCTGCAGGTACACTCACCTTAAATGGTGCACAAATCTAAGTGCCCTTCTTTCTCCCACTGGTGGATGACTAAATATCTAAAGCGAGCCACTCCAGTGAGCGGACGGCGGTCAGGGCACCAGGAGGAGCGCCCTGAGCAGCACAGGTGCAGCTGCCCCTGGAGGCCCGGGGTTGGCAAGGCTGCGATTCTATGCAATTCCTCAACTGTCACCCACACTGCGCCATTCCGTGTGGATGGCCCAGGTGCTGGCCTGGGGCAGTCACAGCTTTAACTGGTTGGCGTCTCACACAAGAGGCTCCAGGCTTAAGATGGCACCAACCTACAGACACCATCCCCGTACCCTTGCCTGGCCTGCACGGGCGACCCCGTTCCGTCCACTAACCACCTCTTCCCGGGCTTCACACACAGCACCCTGGTGCAGGCAACAGAGAAGTGCGTGAGCATGACGCTAAGCCTCGCTTGAGCAGCGTGGTGACCACGTGGCACACATGGCTTCCGGCACACAGGGACACGGGTCCCAGCCACACGGACACCCCTCCTGCTCAGGGCCCCACTGGGCCACCTGACTCCCCCTAACTGGCAAGTGCAGGCGCCAGGAACCCCGAGGGTCTCCTACTGGAAGCACCCAGCAGGTGCACATGGTGACCTGCTGACCCCACCAGCCGCTCAGCGTGAGCATCACGCCATCCTACCCGCTGGGTACAAGGCCCTCCACCCTGCTGCCCTCGTCAGGGGCAAAGGGGAACAGACCAGAGTGGCACAGACAACTGTCACCTGCAGAGCCCCACCCCGCCCCTGCAGACCTGCAAAACCCCCTCTGCAGCAACCCAGGCGCTCAAAGCCTTCTCCTCCGGGGTCAACGTCCCCAAAGCTCCCTGTGCCCACTCACAGCCCTGCCTGAGGCTGCTACTGAAACACCATCCAAGCCATGCACAGCTGAGCTGCCTGCTACTCGGGAGGCCGTGTGGGTGATCATGGGAGCCCAGCGTGTGAGTCCAGCTGGGCAACTCCCGTCCGCCCCTCCCTCTCTCCTGTTAGGGAGGCGAGCACAGCACTACTGAGGTAGAACCTCCAGCCCGAGACAGGGTCTCTTAGGAAAACAGGCAGGCACAGCAAAGCATACGTGGGATCCCAGCCCTCTGGGAAGCTGAGGCAAAAAACCACAAGTTCCAGCTCAGACTGGGCAACTCAGTGACTTAGCAAAACTCTGTCTCAAAATTTTAAAAAAGGGCATGGGATGCACCTCAGTGCAAAGGCCCTGGGCTCAATCACAATCCACCCATCAATCAATAAGAATTAAAACAAATCTGTTCCTTACAACCTCAAATACTATAGTTGGAAACTCAAAACAAAGTACTCACAGGCACAGTGGCACACGCCTGTGATCCCAGCACTCAGGAGACTGAGGCAGGAGGATTCTAAGTACGAGGCCAGCCTGGGCAACTCAGAAAGACCCTGCATCAAAAGCTAAAAAGCAGCCAGGTGCAGTGGTGCACGTCTGTCATCCCAGCATCCGGGACACTGAGGCAGGAAGACTGCCGTGAGTTCAAGGCCAGCCAGGGCTCCATAGTGAGTTCAAGGCCACCCGGCATTACATAGTGAGACCTTCTCTCAAAATACCAAAAAGAAAAACTAAAAGTATGGTGGCACACACCTGCAAGCCCAGCAGTCAGGAGGCCAAGGCGGGAGGACCATGAGCTTGAGGCCAGCCTGGGCTGCACAGCGAGTTCAAGGACAACCCAAGCTACACAATGACATCAAGTCTCAAAAAGCTAAAAGAACTACAAAGGACTGGGGACGTGGCTCAGTGGGAAAGCACCTGCATGTTCAATCCCCTGTCCTACCAGAGTAACACAGTGCCCACCGGAAGCTGCGCTCTACAGCACATCAGAGATGCCTGCTAGTGAACACTGGGACCCCAAAAACCAGTCCTTGGGGAGCAAAAGCTTATGCCCCGCCATGCACCAAGTTACAGCGTGACAGAAAGCTAGGTCGAGTAAACTCTTAAAATGACAGGAAAATAAGATTGCAGCAAAAGACACAGTACCATTAATCCCCTCAAATGCTCCCCATGCCTTGAACCCATTCCATTCATCCTGTCACTCACACGTCCAGCTGTGGCTGCCTCCACATCCTGAACCAGTTCAAACTGTTTGCTGCTTTTCACAGTCATTTTGTCTATGAGGAAGAGCCAGGAGTCGTGCAGTACTAGGTCAGGACATAGCGCCATGTTTTGGGGGGTTTTTTTGGTACTGGGGATCGAACTCGGGTCCTTGCGCTTGCGCAGCAAGTGGCAAAACTGCTGAGCTAAATTCCTGGCCCAACAGTGCCATGTTTTTACAAGCCTGCTGTTCAATGGCACTTGGCAGCAGCATTCACTATTTTTTAGAGGTTTGTTTGAGATTGGGTCTCATTTTGTACCCCAGGCTGGTCTCGAACTTGCAGTGATCCTCCTGACTCAGCCTCCTGAGTGCTGGGATGACAGACATGTGCCACCACGCCTGGCCACACACTGTATTTCTGATCACATCTTATAAAGACACTCAGGAAAGAGGACTTCCAGAACTGTTTCAGGAACTAGCAAAAGTGATGGCATAAGTGTGCTGGAAGCGAGAGGGAGCACTCTGAAGGGATTCATGGCACTGTGTCTTTACTATAAAACAATGTTTTAAACATTCACCATCTATGTGACCACTCTTGTACGTAATTCGCAGTATTAAACATTTAATCATAAACAACCCTGGGCAGGGGATTTAGCCCAAGTGGTTCAGGTGCCTGCCTTGCAAGTGCAAGGTCCCAAGTTCAATCCCGGGTACCAAAAAAAAAAGGAACTAATGATAACCCTATAAATAGGAGTGGAAGTTACTTCTCTGTGCTGAGATGAAGGCCCTGAGACACGGTTGGTGAGAGACCTGCCCAAGTTTACCAAGCTACAGGCAGGTGGGTCTAGATCTGAACCAGACTCCAGAGCTTTCTATTTTCCCCACATTAGGGACTGAAACCAGGACCTTTGCGTTGAGCTATTTTATTTTTCATTCTGAGACAAGGCCTCAGTAAGTCACTAAGTTGCCCAGGCTGGGCATGAACTTGTGATCCCCCTGCCTCGGCCTCCCAAGTGCACCACCACATCCAGTTAGAGCATGTATTCTCACCCACTGCACCAGC